AATTAAAGAATTCATTCCTGTAATTAAAAAGGTGGTCATAGGGGATTGCCAAATCTTGCTTTATTCTGGGGAGAGGTGAGGATAAATTGCAGTCATTACTAAGCAAACCAAAGAATGCTTACTTTTTATGTTGCCTCTCTCGTGGGTAATTGCATTATTTCCTACATGCAGTTCTACTTCTTTTCTTTTTCCTCCTCCTTCCCAGGACTGGAGTGGTAATAGAGGTCAGTTTTTCTGTGCAATGTTCTCTGGATATAAGTGAATATATAATATAAGTGAATAAACCTTTGTAAATCTTTGTCCCTCTAATCCCATTTGCTCCTCCTCCATTCAGGGGAGGTGGTGGTGGCAGTTGTGGGAATGATAGGAGATTCCTGGCTTGATGCTACTACTTTAGGAGCCTCAGCCTTGGGCTTAAGGCTGACCATGGCAGCTATGGCCTTTAACCTGGCAGTAGGATCTGTGACTGGAGGGGCCTTTGGCCTGGGATGTAGCATACTACAACATAGGAGTAGCCAGGCTTGGGGTGGACAGTCTGGAGATAAGACTTAAAAACCTTGGGCTGATTGGAATGGTGGTCAGTAGCTATACTTGTTAGAATTCAAAATAAAAGTTTCCACCTACAGAGATCAGTGCATCAGTGTCTGTAACTAGGGAAGGACTACTGGGACTTTAACCCAGGGTACTGAAATTTATAGAGTGCTGAAAGTACTAGCACAGAATAAGAGTTTCAAAAGTACAATCTATGTTCTTTATCTTATAAGGGGCCAAATCTTTTGTCACTATAATCATGAATCCTCCCTTTGGGACCAAGCATAATAAAGGTATGGATGTCATTTCTGAAGATTGCTTTACAAATGGCAAGAGTAGCCCTTCAACCCAAGCACATATTCAAAAGAAAGCAGATGAATGAAAAATTAAGATATATGTTATAGCAGAGCTACAATATGACCTACCAGCATCATATAAATTTCATAAGGAAAAAAAAAACAGCAGACATGGAAGTGGATTTAATTTGGTTTTCTTTTTAAAGATCCCCCTAAATCTGAAATAGCTTAAAACTTATTTAAAATAAATAAAAATTTTTGTGTTAAAAAAAGGAAGTGGCAACTTTCTCCCCCCATTCCCTTTTCCTCCTCTTTCCTTTCCTCTAGTTTGGCCTTTCCAGCAATAGTCTCACTGTGTCTCTACTCATGGAGGATAGGATCCAGGCGCTTCCCTCCCTCCCCTTAACAAATTAATTTGTCTTAAAAGTTTAATTTTAGGTACATTTCATACTAGTTTCCTTGAGTTTGAAAATTTCTAGTCATAACCAATGAATCAACAAGTCCCTAAGTGCCTCTGTGCAAGGTACTGTGTTAAATGCTAGGGATACTAAGTCAATAGTGAAACAGTCCCTGCCCTCAGAGAGCTTATAGTCTTATGGGGTATAGTGTGCTTTTTCACCAGATCAAGAATGGCACAGATGGCGAGATGTATCTCCTCTGTTCCTTACCTATTGTTTTTTATATTAATTTTTTTCTTAGACATTTTCACATTTTGATGATGAAATCTTGGGAGAGGTAATGGCTTTTCTTCTTTTTATTCTGTAATCTTATAATTTCTAGCTACTATTAAGAATTCATCTCATTATTCCATAAACAATAATATGACTTTTTTAGGGATAAAAAAGGAAAAACTAATTGTCTCGAAATATGTTAGTGCCACTAGTTCTTAGATTCTTAGGTAGAATAATGGCCCCATGTCATTGATTTCATTTTATAAATGTCTGTGACAACCCCAGTTCTCTGTTTAAGTTCAATTTCCTTTTAGGGGTTTGTCAGCAATATCATTTGAACATAGGCTTTTCAATCAATTGAGCAACATTTATTTTTGTTTTTTGAATAATACTTTTCCCAATTACATGTAAAAACAATTTTTACCATTCATTTTTAAAATTTTGAGTTATAAATTCTCTCCCTCCCTCTCCTCTGCCCGTCTGCTGCTCTGTGACTCCGTTGTCTCATCCTCTCCTAGGATCCACCTCTTCCCACCCAACTCCTGAGAAGGCAGGGGCTGGCAGAGGACTTAAAAGTGTGGAGATAATGCATTGCTGTGGAAGAAGGGTACTGCCCTCACCAGCTCTGCTCTCCATCAGTGCACAGGGCTCAACCCTGGTTGTATTGCCCTACTTATGGCTCTGCTTTTCTCCAGGATGTCTCTGTTCTGTTACTGTTTTCATTTTTCCTTGCCCTACCTGAAAGCCTCCAGATAGTTTAATGTAATACTAATCCATAGCAATCTATACTATGAAAGAGTTGCTTAGATAACATGTCATCCAAAGAAAGTTCCAAAAGAGTAACCAGTGCTTCTAACCACTAAAAAATCAAAGATTAATTGGAGTTGAGATGTTTATTTTTCTTTTAAAGCAAAATGAGAGAAAAGTAATTTCAATGAAAGATATGAGTTAAATTAACATAGAAAATTGAAATGTTAACTTTTTTAATGGTAAATGCCAAACCTTTAAGGAAACCATGCTAGATAAGTTCTTTTTAGAAAGTCGAATTTGTGAACCACCTGTTCCTCCATTGGATTTGGAGTCAGAAGAGTAGGTTTAAATCCCAGCTCTGCCACTTACTACCTGTGTCTCCTTGGACAAATCACTTAATCTTGCCAAGCCTCAATTTTCTCAACTGTAAAATGAGAGAGTTGGAATAGACGGCCTCTGAGGACCTTTCCAGCTCCATCTAAGTCTATGCTACTATGGTAGAGTATTTGTTTCACCCGTGTCGGTTATATGTACATCCACATATGTTTGTCTAAATATGGCTCTCCGGGAAGCACAGATCTTTGACTCTCAACTACCCCTCCACAAGGAAACTTTGATTCCTTCCAGGAGAGGAACAGGAGAATGGGACCATGAGGCTGATTTACTGTGTTTTCCTCACAGAGGAGACACTAATATAAAATATATATATATGTATATATATACACACACATACACATACAATGTGTGTATGTATATATATGCATGTAGATATGCACTTATACATATACACCTATATACATATGTATATACACATGTACACACACAATATACATATACACATGTAAAATATAAACACACGCATATATACATATACACACATATATACATGCGCACATATATACATATATATACATATATATGTGTGTGTGTGTATATATATATATATATACACACACACACATACACATGCACACAAATATATAATTAATTTTTAGGTTCAAGTTGCTTTTCTTGGTTTCTATCCCTCAACCAAGAAAGAATGCCCTAAGCAATATCCAAAGGCTTGATTCTACCAAATTCTAGTCATATAAAATATCTTACATATATACACACATGTGTATATATGTATGTATGTATACGCACATATATCTTGCATAGTAAATAAACACATTTAATCAAGCTGATTATAAACAAATTAGAGAGATGAGAATATACCAAACAATAAACCAAGTGAATAAGCTTTTCTGTTACGAGTGAGATATTTCAGCTCAATGAGAGAATACTCAATATTACCCCAGGGGAAATTCCTTAAAGTCCTTAGTGCCTCAAGCTGGAAATAAGGACATGCTCAAGGCACTGGCTCCTTTACGTGGGGACTTCTTTCCGAAGTCTTTCTTCTGGACCACCAAGGGCCTCTCCCTGAAAAGAATCTAGAAGAGCATGTGTCCTTTCTTAAAGCTAGAGGCTAGAAGAAGGGCTCCTCTCCCAAGCTCTTGCCAGCTCTGCCCCTCCCACAGGCACAGACTATGAAATAATCAATCTCTCCACCAAGGAGGAGAGTCTTATGTAAATACCTAGGCTTGAGCCCTGGGCTGCAGTAAGATCTTTTGATCTAATAAATTCTCAAATAATGGACCACATTCTCCATTATGCCTTCCCAAATGATCACTTGTTTCTGTAGTCCTAACAAGTCCACTTGTGAAACTTAAAGCTAACTTAGCAACTTCCTGCAGCAGTGTGGACACACCCATGGAACACATAAACCTCAGCTTAGTTTATTGTTTTCATTCTGTTGTCAAGATGTCTTTTTATATAATTTTCCTTTAATAGTGTTGTAATAGCTGGTAAATTATTGATAGAGCAGAGGTTTTGTCTGGGCAGCATGATATAGTGGGAAAAGCATTAGGTTTAGAGGATTTGGCTTTGATTCCTAGCCTTGATGCTTACTACCTCTGTGACCTTGGCAGGTCACTTAGTATCTCTAGGATTCTGTTCTTCACTGGATTCAAAAGAGAAATTTATAATAGATAATCTCTGGGGTCCCTTCAAGCTCTAACTCTATGATGTTAATTCTCTTTGCATAGGACACCACATGAAGACACATATCGCCTGGCCTGTTCTTTTTGCAATGGTGATATGTTGGAAATGCCATGCTATCTTGCTCTGTAGCAGTCAATTGTCACACAATGGCCTATTGAGTGCCTTCTATTATTTTTGATGCAAATATTTATTTCTTGTTCTGCTGAGATCTAGAATAGTGGTCCTAAAATTATTATTATTTAAATAAAAGACTGATATCTCTTTATCTTTCAGAAACACCTTTTCCATTTTAATGTTAATCATCTTTTCCTCAACCCTATGGAAAGTACTTCTTTATCTTCAGAATATCTTCAGGCTTTCCTCCCCGTCCTCCCTCCTCCCACCTTAGTTCCATCTTCAAACTCCTTGCTTTCTTTACCTCAATATATCCCTAACAGACCAACCTACTAGACAGTTTAAGTCTGAAAGTATAAGCTCTAAGTAGAACAAACAGGCATCTAAGCTTAAAATTTGGGAAGTAGGGAGGTTCTTCTAATACTAGTGTAATGAATTTTCTCTCTCTTTCTCTCTCCCTTTCCTTCTCCCTCCCTCCCTTTCTTCCTCTCCCTCTCCCCATCTCTCCCTCCTTCCATCTCTCTCTCTCTCTCTCTCTCTCTCCTCCTCCCCCCTTTCCGTCTCTCCCTCCCTCCCATTCTCATTCTCCTTTCCATAGGTTAACAGTAATAGATTCAGATGGAGCTGCAAACTCTACTATTGCATTACTAATAGTCAACAAACCTGTGGACTACCCACCTCTTGCCAATGCAGGACCAAACCAGGTGATAACTTTACCACAGAACTTCATCACCCTCAATGGAAACCAGAGCAGCGATGACCACCAGATTATCAGCTACGAGTGGTCACTGAGCCAACATAGTAAAAGCAAAGTTGTAGCCATGCAGGTAAGTTCTTGTTTAAGGGCGTCAGAAGAATTTGCCTCTGTCTTTCATCAATTGAATCTGGATTTTGTTTTGGGGCCTAGAAAGATGAGTTTAGAAATGTCTTTATGCTGATGCATTAGAGATGTTGAAAGAGGAACACAGGCACTCCTAGAGTTATGAATGTATGGGATTGCAAAGGTTCCATATGTAACAATTGATCAGTTTTAGAAGGTCAACCCCACTGGCCTTGTAAGTGAATGAATGAATGAATGAAGAAGCATTTTTTAGGCACTTATTAAGTACATGGCACTGTGTTAAGCATTGGGGATATAAATTCAAGCAAGCAAGATACCCCCTGCCCTCAAGAAGCTTATATTCTATTAGGGGAAGACAATGTATATGGAGAACTTGAAGTAGAAAGCAAGAGGTAGGGTTAGATCCAAGAGTATGGAGCTCAGCATTAGTTAACAGTTTGATATTTCAAGCAAGAAAATTATTGTAGTCTTAGACTACATTAAGATAAACAAATTGCCCAAGTCATACTGCATTTGGAGTACTGTGTTCACTTTTGGATTTCATACTTGGTTGCTGTCCTTTGTTTTTGAAGGGACCAAAATGACATCAGTATGTTGGGGTCAAGGTACCTCTGTGACTGATCAGACCAATACAAGCTCGGAAGCCTCCACCACAGGTTGGGCACAAATAGTCCATACGAACATTTGGAGTGGAGATGTCTCTAAATTTGCACATCTTGGTTTTTTGGGTTTTTTTTTTTGAGCTACTGCAATTCTGTTTTGCTCATAGAGCGTGGAACTGTTTTTGATGCAGGCACACCCTGCTGGGTGGCCCTGTGGCAGTATTTCCCATGTCTCACCTTCCTGAGTTCTTTAGAGAGACCTTGAGAGTGGTCAGTTTTGGACACTACACTTAAGGAAGGCTATTGATAAACTGGAGACTGTCCAAAGAAGGATTAGTAGGATAGTGAAGGATGATGAGTTCATCTCATATGGTAATTAGCTGGAACTAGGGAGAAGGAAAGACTTGTAGGAGGGTGCCTGATAGCTGCCTTTAATTATTTGAAGGGTTGTCATGTGGAAGAGAGAATATAGTTTGAATTGTTTGGCATCAGGGGGAATAAACAGAAGCAGTGGATATAAGTTGTAAAGAGGCTTGATGTAAGAAAAAACTTCTTAACAATTAGAGCTGGCCAAAATGGAATGGTTTTCCTTGGGAGGTAATGGTTTCCTCCTCATGCAAAAGCTGAACGACCACTTGTTAAACGTATTGCAGATGGAATCCTTATTCTGGCACAGGTTGGAATAGATGGCCTCTGGAATCCCTTTCAATTCTGAGATTCTGTGATTTTGCCATTGGGACCCTTACATAGAGATTCCAACTTCACAGTCCCCAGTGTGCTCTATGAAGTAGGAATAGCACTTGGGAGCATGGAACTGTGAGATTTAGGGACCCTGGATTGGAAGGAACCTTGAAAGTCATCTTATCCAACACCAGGGTCTGGAGTAGTAAAGTGACTTGCCAAGGGTTATAACAAGAAGAAAGCAGCATAGCCAGGATTCAAATCCACATCCTGAGACTTGAAATCAAACCCACTTTCTACTGCACTTCAGTATTACGAATTTGTGATGTGGCATGGAACCTTCACCTTTTCAAATCTTAAAAAATAGTTTGGAGTATCTTTAGGTCTTCCTTTGGTCCTGTATAGGGGTAGAATTGCTACCCATAGCCTCCCTCATTTTGTGATTACTTTGTGAAGGGAGCTTTCTTGAACTGCATGCTATTCTAGGCTCTAAACTCTATGGGAAAGAAAGAAGGGAGCTAGAGAGCAGAGGGAAAGAAAGAAAGAGAAAGTAAAGCACTCAGTCCATTAGGGTGACTGACTCAAGTCCATTTTCTAGGCCCTGCTAGACCTCTTCTACCGTTTTGGACTGAGTCTCTTTGGGAGAGCTGTTGCTTTTGGAGGCAGAGGACTTGAATTCGAATCCCCGCTCCCATCTTTATGATCTTAGACAACTCACTTAACCTCTTTGGCCTTGTTTGTAAGATGAAGGTTTTAAACTAAATGACATCTGAAGTCTGTTCTAAGTCTCTTCCCCTGATCCAACATCCTGAAGGAACACAGTTGTAGAGAATATAAGATTGCACTGTGTATATTGATTTTTTACTATTCAAAAAAACATTTTATTTTATAGAACAAATGCCATTCCAATAAGATATCAAATGTTAAAATCAAACTCACCAAATATAAGTTTGTTCAACAACCCTTGATTTTAACCTCAAGAGAGGCTTAAAATAAGGAGCTGTATATCTGCCTAAGTTGTTTGCTGTACTGGCCGCGCCGACCTTCTGCCGGCCGCGCGCAGTACCCTCTCCTCCTATAAGGAGCAGGCTACCAGAGTCATACTCACTTCCGAGTCTTCGGTCCTCAGCCGGATAAACACACAGAGACGAGCCATCGGGAGGTGCCAACACCAGAGCTTTATTCAGAGGCCATCACAGCAAGCCATCATAGCAAGCCCAAGCAGCAAGGCCAGAGCAACAGAACAGGAGCCAGGAGAGAGCGCGCGTGTGATCTGACCACGCTCGTTCCTAAATACCTACCTAGCCCCTCCTCCCCAGCCCGCTTACTAGCCAACGATTGTAGGGTCAGATACCGGAAGGGGCTGTCTGAGTTTAGCACACCAAGGGGGAGGGAGTGACGTAGGAGGTTAGGACCGGATACAGGGAGGAGGCATCTGGGATTAGCGCATAGACAGAATACGTGACCTAGGAAGTCAGACTCAGACACTGGGAGGAGGGGTCTGGGGTCAGTGCTGCACAAAGGGACCCAGGAAGTCAGGAAGGTCACAAGAGGCGTCTGGGGATGACGTTGCATATAGGGAGGGGACTAAGCAAAGGGAACTCAGTCCTCTGCCGTCCCACTCCCACGTGGCACCGCCTCAGGAGCTCAAGCTCCGGCTACTTCCTTGCACCCAGCTTATCTCACATAGCACTGCCCACTGCCTCAGGGCTTCTCCATACCCAGCCCATCCCAGTTCACCACGACTCAGCCTACCACAGCCCCTGCCTCGACTTCCAAAATACCCAGATCTTACCCTACTCTTGCCACAGCGCCCAACCTGGTAGCTGCCAACATCAGACAGTCCCTCACAGTTTGCCATTAGTGCAGAACCCAAATGAAAGAGAGATTCCTTAGAGATAGGGAAGCCTTCCAGATGCTGATCTTAGTGTTTGGTACTGTGCTGATTGTATCAAGCCCTGATATCATGCAGAGCCTCCTAAATGAGATTAACAATTACTTAAAAGGTTTAGGCTTAATTTTCTGAACAGAAAAAAAAACACAGGAAAAATAGATGTTGATCAGACTATATGTAGTTGGATGGACAATGCACAGAGCTGGTCTGTCAGTGCATTTATCCTGAACAGATATTAGGAACAGATAATGAATTGGGCCTATTGAATGATGCAATGCAACAGTCTCAGAAGAACTAAAATGATTGGCCATCTAAATGGCAGTGGTATCTGCATGATAGGGTTGAACAGATTGCAGTACATTACCAGTGAAAAATCTTTAGGAGTAGAGAAAAATATCATCAAAGAGTGTATGATTAGGATAGGGGAACTGATCATGTAGCAATGTTGAGGGATGGACATTCATGCACATGCACATTCATAATGGTAGCACATGACAGGGACCCTCTGTGGAAGATTCATGGAAGGATATGGACGAAAGCCATATAGAAAGAGAAGGTACAGTTGGAGAGATCATGGGTCTACTCAAGTGTTGAAGTCAGCATGAAGAAAGGATATTTTATTGAATCATAGAAGGTTCCAGATCATCTAGTTGAACCATAAAACTAATTTTACAGAAGAGGGAACTGAGGTTCAGAGAGGTTACACAGATTCAGAGACAGAGACCTAGAGTCAAGGTCAAATACAATCACAGACTGAGACACAGAGATATATGTATAGAAACAAGGAAATTCTGAGGCAGAATAAGAGATAGAGAAACAGATTGAGAAATGTAGACACTCAAGGACTAAGACACAGATAAAGAGAAAGATGGAAGTATACACATGGCTGAGATATTAACCAAGAAATGAAGAGAAATGTAGACAAAATATTATGGTAGAAAGAGTGCTAGATTTAGAGATCTGTGTTTCGATTTCAGATGCCAGAATTACCACTAACTACTTGTGTGATCCTGGGCAAGTCACTATACCTTTTTTTGACCTCAGTTTCTTGATCTATAAAATGAGGGAATTGTTCTAGATAATCTTTAAAGCGTCCTTATTAGCTCCAAAAGTCTATAATCTATAAACATCTTGGTTCTGTTTTCAAATATTTGCAGGGGAAACTTGAGGCAATTAGTTGCTATAGTGGATAATCAGGATCACCTGAGTTCAAATCCCGCCTCAGACACTTACTAGATGTGTGACCCTACTCAAGTCACTTAATTTCTCTCAGCCTCAGTTTCTTCATTTGTAAAATGGCAACAATAATAGCACTTACCTTAAACTGCTGTGAGAATTAAAAGAGGTAATGTATGAAAAGCACTTTGCAGCCCTTAAACCTTTACATAAATGTTAGCTATTGTTAAGGGAAATAAAGAAATTATAATGGGAGTTAAACATTCAGATAGTGTAAATATTTCATAATAATCTGACATTTAGATGGGAGTATTGCTGTTATTACCAACAGAAGAGATAAACATCTATTAAAGCTAAAGGTGGCCATTTTAATTATTTTAGCTCAAATGAATAACATGCTGCCTCTGAGAATTTCTGCTGCTTTGAATTTTCATCCCCAAATCCCTGAAGACATACAAACATTCCTTGCTTGGGCAAAATATCTTTATTAAGTCTCTTAGTTTTGCAAAATGTCATATTTTCTCATTAGGTCCTCTATGCATATTGTCTATAATCCTATATTTGTCTTTTCTTTCTTTTTTTAATTGTCAAATGCCCAGGGAGTGAGAACACCGTACCTTCAGTTGTCGGCAATGCAGGAAGGAGATTATACATTTCAGCTGATGATCACAGATTCATCAACACAGCAATCCACTGCTGAGGTCACTGTGATTGTCCAGCCTGGTAGGTGAGAATGAAAATACCTTGAGCCTGTTGACTCTGAGCAGAGAGAAATTCGTCCTAAATCCCTGAGTTGGGATTGAATTGAGGCAGCAGACATTGGGACCTGAAATAAAAGGAGTTTTTGCTTTTAGTTCCAGAGTCCCATTATAATTTTAATTTCCAGACCCTGGGATGAAATGTCACAGTGCAGTCATCCTCAAGGTCACTCCAATTTCAGATTTCACCTGTAAAATGAGGAGGTTAAAGGGCATGGCCTCTGAAGAATCATTTAGCTCAAAGTCTAGAATCTTCTGATATGGTCATAGATATTTTACTCTTCTGCCTCAGTGATACAGGCATTTCTTAGAAGGGTCTTTTTAGGACACTGTGGCCAGACACTCAGATGTCCTATGGCCAGGTAGAAGTAGATTGACTTTATAATTTAGCTTCTTGTTTGTAGGTAGTTCCTGAGGATGTGACCCTACTGATATCTGAGATTATACTTCCTCTTCCATCCTACACCCCCAAGGTCAGCTGAGCCCTTGTCCAATATTCTGTAGTATGATTTTACTTTTGATACTTGTCAATGAATGGCCTGTTGCTGGAAGAAGCTGTGCCTTGCTTTCTGATGTCCTAAGAAAGTATTCAACCTATATCTAACTAACATGCCTATGGAAATAAAGCTCCCTTATTCTTACCTTTGCTACTTTTTGGAAAGAAGCTAAATATGAGTGTCATAATGATAACAACAACAACAACAGCCAGTGTTTACATAGTATTTTGGTATTGGTTGTTGTCCTTCATTCTCAAAAAGGACCAAAATGACATCACTATGCTAACGTCAAGGTACAGTGTGTCCAACTGTGGCTCGTCAGACCAGTATGAGCTCAGAATGTTCTACCATAGGTTGGACACAAATAATCCATGTGAACATTTGGGGTGGATTCTCTAAATTTGCACATCTCACGTTTCTTTTGTGCTATTTCAATTCTGCTTTGCCCATAGAGCACAGCACCTTCTCTGATGCCAGTGTCTTCCATGTCACACAATCAATTCCAAAGTTCTTTTTTTTCTCCAAAGTTCTTAAGAGAAACCTGAAGAGTGTCCTTGTATCACTTCTTCTGACACCATGTGAATGCTTGCCCTATGTGAATTCTCCATAAAATAGTCTTTTTGGCAAGTGTATGTTTGGCATTTGAACAATGTGGCCAGCCCATTGGAGTTGTGCTCTCTACAGTACAGTTTGAATGCTTGGCAGTTTAGTTCAAGAAAGGCCTCAGTGTCTGGTATCTTATCCTGCCAGGTGATCTTCAGAATCTTCCTAAGACAATTCAAATCAAAGCGATTCAGTTTCTTGGCATGGCGTTGGTATTCTATCCAGGTTTCATAGGCATACAACAATGAGGTCAGCACAGCGGCTCTGTAGACCTTCATTTTGGTAGTCAGTCTAATACTTCTTTCCCATACTTTCCTTTGGAGCCTCCCAAACACTGATCTAGCTCTGGCAATGCATGTGTCAACCTCATCATCAATGTGTACATCCCTGGAAAGTACACTACCAAGGTAAGTGAACTGATCCACAGCATTCAAAACTTCTCCATTTGTTGTTCCACATATGGATGGTGGTGGTGGCTGATGGAACACCTGTGTTTTTGAGGCCCTTACGCCCTCCCCTTGCAGGCTCTTGGGAACTAGGCAGTGGCTTCTGTGGCCCTCTCCCAAGACAGGCACTCAAGAGTGGGAGGGAGCCTGAAGAGAAAGGCAGGGAAAGAATGACACTAGAGGGCAGTTTTTGGTGGACCTGTGGGGCTTCTTCTTCCTCCTCATTCCTTACTCATTTCATAGTACTTTAAGTACTTTACGAATATTATGTCAGTCTTCCATCTTTCTCTGTATCAGTGTTTTAGCCCTTGAGTGTCTGTGTTTTTGTCTGTTTTTTCATTTGTCATTCTGTCTCAGTTTCCTCATTTCTATATGTACTGTCAATAGGCAATCACATCTTCATGAAACGTATGTGAAAACTAGGTTTATTACAAGAGAAGTGAGCACACATGTGGAACCCACAGAGTTCACAATCCATACAGAAGCTGGCCACACAGTATAGCAAAGGAAGAAGAAGCCCAAATTTCCACCTAAAGGGCCATGACATGGGAGAGGGAAAGGTATAATAAAGGTGGGAAAAGAACAAAACCTCTTCCAAAGGGAGGAGCAAGGCCAATGGCAAAAGCTGCGTTCCTTTCCCTTGGGAACTGCTAGACCAAGAAGATACGATGGTCTGCCTATCTACAAGGGTCCCAGCTGCACAAGCCTAGTGCAGACTGTCTAGTGCCTGTCTTGACTGCCGAGGACACACAGGGAGTCCAGTTTGGGAGGCAAACAATACATTATATCAGCCTGGGGCAGGGTGAGGGCTTCATCCTTGCCACATTCAAGGCCTCCTGCGTACGCTGGGTTCAGTGTCCCTGGAAAATATGGCAACTCAAAAAGACAAGTTCAAGGGACCCCTTAACAGTACATATCTCTAAGTCTCAGACTATGATTGTATCTGACCTTGAGGCTAGGTTTCTGTCTCTCTGAATCTAAATACAAATATTATTATCATCCTTTATCCTTATAATAACCCTAGGAGGTAGGTGATATCCCCATTTTACAAAGGAGGAAACTGAGGCAGACAGAAGTTAAGTGACTTGCCCAGTCACACATCTATTAAGTGATTGAAGCTGGATTTGAATGCAGGGTCTGCCTGACTCCAAGTCTAGGACTGTAGCCACTGCGCCACCTGGTAGCTCTGTATGAGCTACCTCTACATTTCTTAAATGCCTTAACTTATAATACCCCAACTGCTCTGCTGACTTAAATGGCATCTGTAGCTTTTTATTCTAGAGAAAGAAAGGGAATCTGTGCCACAGCTCTTACTTCCACTGCTGTTTTCTTGGTGAATTGAAAGGAAAGGAGAATTCTCATTTTACCTTCACAGAAACTAAGATGCAGAAAAACTAAAATCTGCTGACCTGTCCTAGACAGAAAAGGACACAATCCCACTGCAGCCCAGTACTCACTAGTTCACCTGATGATCAGTTGGAATGTCTAGTACTTCCTTGGTGAAAACATATTTTTATGACATGTTTGGTTACTACTGTGGGCCATTTCAATAATCTGCATAGTAACTATATATGTAGTCACAAATGCTTGTGGTAGACATGGTAGCTGGTGTCATCTGTTATGTGAAAGCTATAGCAAATATTCTTGGCCTACAGGCAACAGCTGGGCACTTTATTTAGAGCTTGGGTATGGTTGTGCAAAAATCTCAATAACCCACTCAAAGAATCCTGTGAATTCTAGGAACTTTTATTCATTCATTCAATTCATTCATTCATTTATTTGAAAATCATTTAAATTTTTATTTAATTTAAATTAAAATTTAAATAATTGAAATCTAAAAATTTATTTAAAAGTCAAAAATAACTTTTGACTCTATGTTAGAGTCATTACCTCTACCCTTGATTGAACTCTCCCTGGTGACAAAGAAAGCCAATTTTGCCAAATATCCAATACAGAAACTTTTTTTTGACAATTTATATAATGTCCCATCCTTGTAATATGTTCATAACCTTCATAACCTAGCCCCTTCCTACCTTTCCAGTCTTCTTACACCTTATTCCTCAACATATACTCTTTGATTCAGTGATCCCGGCCTCCTGACTCTTCCACAAACAAGACACTCCATCTCTTTGCTCAGAGCATTTTCTCTGGCTGTTCCCCATGCCTGGAATGTTCAACCTCCTCCACTCTGCCTACTGACCTCCCTAGTTTCCTTTAAATCCCAGCTAAAATCTCATCTTTTACTGGAAGCCTTTCCTGGATAGAGTGCTGGGTCCGGAGTTAGGAAGATTCATCTTCCTGAGTTCAAATACCTCCTCAGACACTTACTAGCTGTGTGACCCTGGGTAAATCACTTAACCCTGTTTGCCTTGGTTTCCTCATCTGTAAAATGAGCTGGAGAAAGAAATGGCAAACCACTCCAGGATCTTTGAGAAGAAAACCACAAATGGGGTCATGAAGAGTTGGACAGGCCTGAAAATGACTGAACAACAACAAAATTCCCTAAACCCTCTTAATTCTAATATCTTTCCTCCGTTAATTATTTCCTATTTATCCTGAATATAGCTTGATTTGTATGTATTTATTATATGTTGTATCCCCCACTAGATTGTAAGCCCTTGAGGGCAGGGACTTTCTTTTGCTTCCTTTTATATCCTTAGTATTTAGCACAGTGTCTGGCACATAGTAGATACTTAATAAATGTTGATTGATTGATTTTTTAAAAATCTATTCTGTAGGACCTTCATTATTTTTCACACGAAACTGTATCCTGGTGGTTCTGAGGGTCCAATTACTTTGTGACTTGATGTAAATGAATTCAGAACAAACATTTAAAAAAGAATCTGAGCATTGGTAATATAATTTTAAAAGTGCTCATTTTCACATTCTGGTTTTGTTATTGTAGAAAACAACAGTCCTCCTGTAGCTGTGGCTGGCCCAGACAAAGAGCTGACATTCCCTGTGGAAAGCATGGTCCTTGATGGAAGCAGAAGCACTGATGACCAAGGCATCATTTTCTATCACTGGGAAAATATCAGGTAGCAAATCACTCTAGTATCTTTGCAAAAAAAAAAACCAACCACACCCATATGAGGTTATGAAGAGTCAGACGTGACTGGACAACAACTCTTTCCCCAATCTGTTCTCCCCTTTCCTGATCCCTGCACAAATCCTTATTGGATTTATTGTATTTCTAGACCAAATTGCATGTGTATGTCTGTGTGTTGTGTTCAACTCTCTAGCCAGTTGAGATAAAAGCAAAGATACTGGAGTGGTTTGCTATTTCCTCCTCCTATAGATTAAATAAACAGAGGTTAAGTGACTTGCCCAGGGCCACATAGCTAATGAGTGTCTGAGGCTGGATTTGAACTCGTGTCTTCCTGACTTCAGGCACAGTGCTTATCCACCCAACCACCTAGGGGCCTCCAACAGCAGGGTAAATTGATGTCCTTCTTGGTCTTTGGTACAACACTGTACTGACTGATTGGATAACTGAGAATATGGGAGATAATAATATATACCGTTCTAACCTTGACCTGAAAAAGAGAAAACTGTAGAACTTGGGGGTAGAAAGGGCAACTTTGAGATCATTTAATCCAATGCCCTCCTTTATAAATGAGGAAACTGAGGCTCAAAGGGTTTTGAAGTAACTTGCCCAAGATCACAGAACTAGTGAGTGGCAAAGCCAGGACTAGTACCCAGAAAGTCCGGCTCCACACCTTATATTCTCGTTAATTTTCCTGTTTTTGTTTAGATGAGAAGTTAGGAATAGTATGCAAGTCTTATTATCCAAAGGGCAGATCATTTTACTAACTTACCAATATGTACCTTATTCCCAGGAATCCAACAGAGCCTGATAAAAGCTCCGTAGGGCTGATAAGTCTTGCAATGTAGAATTCAAGCCACCGTATTCTTTCATTCTAAGCCCATCATGAATTCTCTAGCTAATGCAGATTCTCACTGAAAAAATAGGAGTTTAAAAAGATGTAGATAATAATGCCTGGCAGAAACAAAGCCACATGTGGTAATTTCCACCCCCAACCTTGCTGTTTTCTTGCAGAGGCCCAAGTGCTGTGGAGATGGAAAACATCGACAAAGCTGTAGCCACAGTCACTGGACTGCAGGTTGGCACCTACCACTTCCGACTGACAGTGAAGGATCGCCAGGGCCTAAGCAGCATGGCTACCCTCTCCGTGGCCGTCAGGGAGGGTAAGCTGAGGGGCTTCTTTACCTTTGGCCCTAAACGTTGGACTGATGCATGCGATCATCGCAGGTGTGGGAGGTGGGAGGCTCCATCTGCCTCTTAGGCTTCCAAGGGAATTTGAAAAACAACAACAGCAACAACAAACCAAGCTCCAGTCCTCAAATTCACGGGGGATTTGATATTATAGAAAGACTTGCTTGTTATAGGAAGACATTGGTGGAACAACAAGACAAAAGATCATTAATCTGGAGCTGGAAGGGACCTCGAGGTTATCCTATCTATCATTTTACAGTTGAGAAAACTGAGGTCCAGGGAAGCTGAGTGATTTGCCCAAAGTCACACAGGTATGTGATTTTTTAAAAGGAAGGACATATGCAGGAACTCTTCTCGGGTACAGTTCAAAGACAAGTTCATCCTGAGGAGGAAAATTAGCCTTGAGCCCTATTCTCTTTTCCTCAGTATTTCAACATCCAACCTTCTAGGGCTCAGGGGGATTTGCTGCCTCCCTGTTCTTCCTTAGCATTCAACTCACTAAGCAGTTTTGCCTTCACCTTCCCCTGACACACATTTTGGAGTGTGAGTTCACATTTTCACAGAGGCTTACTGACAGTCAGTAAGTCAGTCAGTCAATAAGCATTTATGAAGCTCCTACTGTGTGACAGGCACTGTGCTAAAAAGGGATACAAAGACATGTAAGTGAAGTGTTCATCAGAACTCACATGGAGGAGTATATTTTATTCTGGGCCCCATGTTTTGGGAGGGACAAAGAGAGGCCAATGCATATTCATATGAGGGCAACCAAGAAAGTGAGGGACCAGGAGAGACAAGGCCATGCAAAGAATGGTTGTTGGAGCTGGAGACAGTTCAGAGAAGAGAATCCTAATGGGTATGTAATGTAATGTAATCATTGTCTTCAGAAAGCTGAAGCTAAGACAGTGGGTAGGATTTACAGAGAGACAGATTTAGGTAGCTAGGTAGTACGGTGGACCTGGAAACAGGAAGACCTGAGTTTAAATACAGCTTTAGACACCAACTACCTGTGTGACCCTGGACAAGTCATTTAACCTCTGTTAGCCTCAGTTTCCTCAGCTGTAAAATGTGGATAATAAGAGCACTTACCTCTCAGGTTTGCTGTGAGGCTTAATGAGATAATATTTGTAAAGTTCTTAGCACAATGCCCAGCACAGGGTAGGTGCTATATAAATGCTAGCTATCATTATTATCATTATTTTTGGCTAGTATTTAGCTAATGGAAGGAATAGCTTCTAAATAATGAGAGCTGTCCAAAAGTGGAATCAACTGCCTAAGGAGTTAGTGGGTTCATTATCACTGAAGGTCATCTGTGGAGGCTGGGTGACCAATTGATATTTCACAGAGGGGATTCTCATACACTATAGCTTTTGTACATCTTACATCTATAGAACTGAGAAATAAACTAACCATGGATTTTTAATATGCTCTATATGGTCATCGTTTCCATCACCAGTGTTTTGAACAAAAATGTTTTTGCTTCCATTTTATTCCATGTGACTTAGAAAACAACAGTCCTCCTAGAGCCCACGCTGGTGGCAGACATGTTCTTGTGCTTCCCAATAACTCCATTGCTCTGGATGGTTCAATGTCTACTGACGACCAAGGAATTGTGTCTTATCTGTGGATCCGGGATGGTCAAAGTCCAGCAGCTGGAGTGAGTATTTGAGTCATCCTTTGATAATGTTGCATGGCATGGCAAAGCCTTTGTGAATTTGCTTTCATTAGGGCAGCCAGACTTATTGAGCATGAATAGCCTGGCAAATGCAGGTGGAAGGATTATTAGATTAAGATAAAAATAATGTAATAGAATGGAAATAATATTGCAATTGGAATCAGAAGGCCTGAATTTGAATAGTGGAGCTGACATTGACCAGTCATATGACCTTGGGCAAGACATTTCATCTTTCTGAGCCTAAAATTCCTCATCTGTAGAATGAAGATATAATATTATGCTATCTACTTCACAGAGTTGTTATGAGTGCTTATTAAACTAAGTTCTATATGTGAATTATTATTGCCCCAGTTCTTCAAATGATCTGGAATTTCTTCATTGTGAGTATTCCTCCCACAGATGCAGATCACAACCCCTCCATACCTTAGTAGATAGTTGCATGAGTTGCTAATGACAAAGAAGAAAACATCATTACCTGCTGGCCAGCAGTTTGGTGATAACAGAGAACTATAGCAAGGCTGAGGTACCTAGGATTTTTACCTAGGCACAGCAAAATGTTAGATAGTGCCAAATTGGCCCCGTGGGCACAGGATGAGCAGATGTGAGTCATGCTCAGGAAAGTAAAGAGAAAAGGGTAGGTCAGATTATTATCTGACTGGAGCTAGACTCTGCTCCCCCACTAGGGTCTGGAAAAGTCTGGGCCAGACATTTCTTCTTCCTTTAGCTATACCCTGATTCCAACATTGGGTGTCTGGGCACAGTAGTGTAGGGAAAAGTGTGGAGTTGTCCAATTTCAAAGCAGTAGCCTCCAGCAAGTTCTGCCATTCTGGGTATTAGCCTCCCTCCCTCCCTCTGCTGGATCCTTGGCACTCCAGATGCCTTAGCCTTAAACTTTCTTGCCTAGAGGTCCTGGATCCTTCTCTTTTGTTTCCAGATCTTTTGGAGAGAGAAAGATACTAGGATTGTTACAGACAATAGGAGAATACCATATTGCCTACGACTTTTTACTCTCTTCCTGTCTCTTTCACCAACACACATGCTGGGGGGCCAGGGTGAGTCTGCTTATGCTCTCTTCTATTTGGTCTTGGTCAAATCAGCAGGTAAGCTCCTGGTCTCACTGCCTTTTTGTCATGGTGGAAGGTCTCAATCATTCACAGCCCCTGACTGGGGTTTGGACTCATCCAGCATCAGTATGAATAGAGAGAGATGGATGGCCAGGGTCCAGCCCATAGGTGCATAGGAATGGCGGTAGTAGATCAGAGAAAAGGGTGGTGTGTGAGGGTGTCATATTGCCCACTCTCATGCCTGCTATTCTATCTGGACTTGCTTGACTTAATTAGTACATAATTAACAAGAACAAATCTTTAAAATAGGAAGCTATCCTATGGCTCTTTTATTTTTTTATAGACAATGTCCCAGAAAAAAGGCATTTACATTCATTGCCTTCCCTTCTCTTATTCACTCCTCAACCCTTACAATTCTGGTTTCCAACAGAAGCTAGATCTGTTCTATTGAGATCACTCAACAGAAACTGTTCTCTTCAATGCTAACAAGGTATAGCTTAACTGACAGATCCGATAACCTTTTCTCAGTCATCATCTTTCTTGATATCTCCGAAGCTTTAAACACACTGTCTCTCCATCTGGATGCTCTCTTCTTGGCTTTTGTGACATTGTTTTCTCCTGGATTTTTTTTTCAGTCTCCTTTGCTATATCATTGTCCATGATCTACTTGTTAACAGTGGGTGTCCCCCAAGGCTCCGTCCTGGGTCTTCTCTTTATATAACCCCTGTGAAGATTAAAAAAATTTGAGAGACATAGTTTTTGGGTAATTTAATAATTTTATTAATAAGGCCACCATGTTATTAATAAAAAGATGGTCATTTGGCTGTCTCTCTCTTAGACCCAAGACAATCAGGTCAGTGGACTCACTGTTCATATACTCTTCAAAGAGTAGGTGTTCCTGAGGAGTGGCAATCAACTGTGATTAGATAACACAACGCAAGGTGAGCTATATTAAAATGCAGGGCTGAGAGTGACTTCTTGTTACCCAGGACAGAGAAACTGTCTCTACACTTAAGTAGCCCAGCCTTGGGCTCTCCAAACAAAAGGATCAATCTCCACCCAAGCTTGATTGAATGGAATTCACTTGAGATTAGAAATTCCTTGTAGGGTTGGTTGGGTCAGATAGCGGAGAAGTTTAACTCGACTTTCAAAGACTGAGGTCTTGAAAGTAGAAAAGAAAGGAGAAACTCTGAATCTCCTGAGTCATTAGTTTTTAATAATCATTTCTCTCATCTCCCTCTCTGTGATCTCATCAACTTCCATGGGTTAAATGATTATTTCTTTGCAGATAACTCCCAGATCTATAAATCCAATACTCATCTCTTTTCCTGAGCACCTATAGCATGTCACCAATTGCCCATTGTGTATCTCCAACTAGGTATTCCATAGGTATCTCAAACTCAATGTGTACAACGTGGAACTCATTATCTTTTTCCTCTATACCATCATCCCTTCTCCAACCCCCCCCTCCCCCTTATTTCTATTGAGGGCACTGCCCTGCTTGTAGCCACTGAGGGTCACAACCTCAGAGCCATCCTTGACTCTTCCTTCTCCTTTATCTGTGATTATGGCAGATAATCCATAATCTTCTTGAATATTACATTTCCATCATGTCTCCCATCTATCCTATTCTCTCCACAAAATAGCCACCACTCTAGTTCATGGCCTTGTCTCCTTTCATCAGGACTATTGAAGTAACCTGCTGATTGGATTCCCAGTTTCCAGTCTCCAATCTCTCCAGTCTATCAAAATAATTTCCTTAATATCTCAATCTGACCATGTGACTCTCCTGCTCAAGAATCTGTAGTTGCCCCAAGATAAAATAAAGCTCCTAAGCTTAGCATTTAGAAAAAAAGCTAGTTATGCCTTCTGTTTTGGTGACATACTGGAGAGAATGTTGGACCTGGAGTCAGGAATACCTGACTTTGAATCTTCCTTCAGCCACTTACCAATTGTATGGTCCTGGGAAAGTCACTTAAACTCTCTTAGCTTCAGCTTCAGCTTTCTCATATGTAAAATGGGAATAATAATAGCATCTACCTCACAGGATTGTTGTGAGGATCAAATAGGAATATATGTGTGTGTGTGTGTGTGTGTGTATGTATGTGTGTATGTATATATGTATGTATATATGTGTGTAGATAGATAGCTTGGAGTCAGGAAGACTCCTTTTTATGAGTTCAAATCTGGCCTCAAACACTAGCTGTGTGACCCTGGGCAAGTCACATAATCCTGTTTGCCTCAGTTTCCTCATCTGTAAAATGAACTGGAAAAGGAAATGGCCAACCACTCCAGTATCTTTGCCAAGAAAACCCCATATGGGGTCATGAAGAGTTGGACACGACTGAAAAATGAATAAACAACAACAAAATCTGTTTACATGTTGTAAACATGGAACAGGTATGACCATTGAAGATTCTTGAACAGGAGGGTCACATGGTCAGCCTTGGACTTTAAGGAGATTTTTTTGACAGCAGAGTTGAGAGACTGGAAGCTGGGACTTCAATTAGCAATTTACTTTACTAGTCCCAGTGAAAGGTGATGAAGACCTGAGTTAGAGGGGTGGCAGTAATGTGGAAAGGAGGGAGCAGATGTGGGAGATGTTATGAAAACTGAATCTTCGAGGCTGGCAGTTCATCCAATATATCAAGTAAGGGATAGGAAGAGTCAAGGATGACTTTAAAGTTGTAAGTTGTTTGAGAGGAAGAACTGTTCTTCCAGGGCCTAGCAGAGTACCTTACACATACCAGACACTTAATAAATGTTTTTTGCTTGGATTATAGTAGATTATAAACTACTGTATGATCCAAAGGAGTGAGCCCTGTTCCCAGCCTCATGCAAGGGTCCAGGATCTCTGTCTTCTCCTTTTCGCCCACTGCTGCCACTAAGAGCAACTTTTCTGCTTCTTGCTTCAGATAGAAAAATTCCTAGTTATGATTCCAGGTGGATGAACCTCTGCTAGGCTGGCCATCAGCTGACTGATGCAATTCAGCACTGGAGCCATTTCAGCATGGTAGAATTTACCAGCAAATATACAGATTTAAGAGAAGGGGAGTATTTTTCTCACTATTCCTAATTTAAAAACATTGGAATCCTGCCTCACTTCCTTCCCTGGCAAGACTTTGGATGGTGTAGGAACTTCAGAATGCTATCTGTGCAGCCAACGCAGAGGATATAAAATTGGCATCATGCTCTTCAATTCTTTCCACTCATCATCCATCAGATTGTGAGTTCTTTGAAGGCAAGGACTGTCTTGCCTCTTTAATGGTTAGCACCCTGCTTGAAACATAATAGATGCTTAATAAATGTTTATTGAATGATTGAGCATCCAGGGGTGTGTGTGTGTACATCATATCTGAAAGGCCAAGTCAAAGAAGGGGTATCATTCTGTTTTCCCAGATGGGAAATCTGAGGTAAAAAGAAAGGAGCAATTTGTCTGAAGTCTCTCAGTCATTGGCAAAGTCAGTATTAGAGCGTAGGTCTTCTGCCTCCCAGTTGAACCCATTCTACATGAGATCCCATCTCTAGGGCTTTAGATTTAATTAGATCATGACTTTTGTTCCAACTTGGGGTTTGAAAGATACATAGTTAAGTCCTCTGAATTTTACTTAAAGGAGGATTATAATAGTAAAGGGTTTTTGAACAATGATGCTGTGCTTTTATTCAGTTCTTTAAACCTTTCAAAGGGTTGCTGAACTCATGCTTGATGGGGTGTTATTTTCTTAAAGAGAACTTTCCATGGGGTACCTATTTGATTGCTTCTGAAATGTAATGTAACTGCTCTTCTTACAAGTGGGTACTTTCTATTTGAGAGATAACAAAAGCTCTCTAACTGAGCATTAAGCTTGCAGTCAAAATACTTAAGTACAAGCTTTGGCTTCAATTCTTGCCAACTGTGTGACCTTTAGGAAAGTAGTTCTTTCCCCACAAAAATTTTAAGCAAAAGTATTCATAAGGAAAGTGCTAGCCAAATGTAAGCTGCTATGATTATTGTGTCTGCATGCCTGCTGGCACACTGCTGGGATTCTCTCTACCCTGACTCCTCAGGACAGAGAAGAGTGTCTCTGCACATTTGGTTCCAGGAGAGGCCTCTAGAATCTCCAGAGAACTCTTTAAAGGGAGTACCATTTTATACATGGCAATGATATAGGAAAGGATGAGGAGCCAAAGCCTTGATAAAGAGACTCTAATTAGTCAGGAATTACTATTAATAAATAATATACTGAATTGCATGTGATTTTTAGGATGTCATCCACGGCTCAGACCACAGTGCATCTCTGCAGCTCATCAATCTGGTGGAAGGAGTCTATACTTTCCACTTGAAAGTCACAGACCTCCAAGGAGACTCTGACATTGATACTGCTACAGTGGAAGTGCGGCCTGGTATGACCATCACCCTCAAGTTCTGTTTCTTTGCAGTCCCTTATGCAAATTTATAATTTATGTGGTCCGCCTTTGGGTTTCTTTTCAATTTAGTAACCGATTTTGTGGTTGTTGTCTTGGTCTGGATTTGTGATTTCATCTGTGCAGGTGTGCAGGCCCACACCTGTTCTGCATAATTTTAGAAAGTTGGCTAGAGCATTAAGAGGTTAAGTCTTGTCTTAAGGGTGTGTGAATCATTGTCATTTGTCATTGGCAGGACATGAACCAAGGTCTTTCTGACTCTGAGGTCTGACTGTTTATCCTAGGGTTAATACTGCTTCTCTTTGCCATTTCTATTTGGGAAATTACTTGTTATGAAAAAGTGGGTTCTCTTTTTCATTTTACTTTATTTTTTCTCTTCACCTCCCCTCATCAGGAAAAAAGTAGAAAAAGAGAAATAAAACCCTTGTAAGAAATGTGCATAGTCAAGCAAAAAAAAAAAATTCCACATTGGCCATGTAAAAATGTAGTTCATGTTCTTCAGCTTGAGACCATCACTTGTCTGGCTGGAGGTGGGCAGCATTTTTCATTATGAGTGTTCTGGAACCATGGTTGGTTATACATTCATCAGAGTTAGGTTTTTTGTTTGTTTGTTTGGTTTTGTTTTAGGTTAAGTGACTTGCCCAGTGTCACACAGCTAGTGAGTGTCAGATGTCTGAGGCTGGATTTGAACTTAGGTCCTCCTGACTCCAAGGCCAGAGCTCTATCCACTGTGCCACCTAACTGCCTCTGGAGTTGTTTTTTTTTTTAAATTTTATTTTATTTTATTTTCAGTTCTAAATTCTGTCTCTCACATCTCCCCTCACCCACCCATTGAGAAAATAAGAAAAACAAAACCTATTACAAATATGTATAGTCAAGCATTAGCCTTGTCACACACACACACACACACACACACACACACACACACACTTACTTTATTCTACACTCCCATCCAACACTCCTCTGTCTGGAGGTGGCCATCATGTTTCATCTCTAGTCCTCTGGAATCGTGTTGGGCCACTGCCTTGATCATAGTTTCAAAGTCTTTCAAAGTTGTCTGTCTATTGCTGTTATTGCATAAATTGTTCTACTTCTGCTCACTTCACTCTGTATCAGTTCATATAAGACTTCCCGGGTTTCTTTGACACCTTTCCTTTCATCATTTTTTATGGCACAACAATGTACCATTATGCTCATGTAACAATTTGTTTAGCAGTTCTCCAATTGATAGGTATCCCCTTAGTTCCCCTCCCTTTCCCCCCATTTTTGTACATGTGTATCCTTTTCCTCTTTCTCTGATCTCTTTGGGGTATGGGTCTGGTAGTCGTATTGACAAGTCAAAGGGTAAGCATTGGTCAGTGACTTTTGGGGCATAATTATAAATTGCTTTCCGGAATGACTATACCAATTCAGAGTTCTACCAACAATGTGTTAATGTGCTTGTTTTCCTCCAGCTACTCCAATGTTGGTCATTTTGGGGGGTCATCTTTGCCAAATGGGTGTGAGGTAGAATTTCAGAGTTGTTTCAATATGCATTTCTCTAATTATTATTGATTTGAAGTATTTTTTAATGATTATTGATAGCTTGGATTTCTTCCTTTGAAAATTGCTTGTGCATATCCTTTGATCTCTTATCATTTGGGGAGGGTTCTCCTTTTTAACAAAGCTATTATTATATTAATATATTATATTATATTAACAAGAAAATAGTCTGAATTGTGCAGCATTTTAGCAGCCCTACTCAAGAATGTCCTTCCCTGATAGCATTCAAGTAGTTTCTCTTTCTTTTTTTATATTACTGCTCAGAAGCAATGGGAGACTGAAGTGAAATAAAAAGCTGATTACAAATGGATATAGCTATATAGTGCTAATCAAAATGATATAGTGCAGCTTTAATTCTTATGTTTCATTTCTTTTAAAGAACTAAAGGTCGGGTTGGATGACCTTCATAAATAGACCAGTATGTTCTCACAATGCCAAGTCATTAGACAGAATGGCTGGGGGAGTCAAATCACAGCTTCTCTGCTTTCTGGGAAAGAACAAGGACTATGTGCTGGGTCAGAGGCCAATAAGGCAGAAATCTGATGGGCTTTGGGAATGGATTCAAGTGACTTTATGTACTATGTTGTGGTAGAGAACCGTAATAGAAAGGACTCATAAACAGTGCTTTTAATGGTCAAAATTGCAGGAATAAGAGGAATGAATGGAGGAGAGGGTAAAGACCCTGTTTCTTTCAGTCCTTACTCCTAAACATGGAAGTCACACAACAGATTCCAAGCCTCTGCTACACCCAAAGTATCCATATTGTTCCAGATATACCTACATATTTTTCAAGTGGAAATTCTATGCCTTCTTTTTCCCAGACCCTAAAAAGACTGGCCTAGTAGAGCTGATACTGCAGGTGGAAGTCGGACAGCTGACCGAGCTGCAGAAGGACATGCTCGTGAGGCAGCTGGCAGTGCTGCTGAATGTGCTGGACTCTGATATCAGAATACAAAAGATCCAGGCTCATTCGGATATCAGGTATGAAGTGGCATGCAGGCAGGCATGCCTGAGGTGGGCGCCGGTACAGGGTACGGGACCATGTGGTGGCCCAGCAAGAAACTCCTCGGGGATTTCTTCAGGGCAGGGCTTTTTAACCGTTTTTGTATCATCTGGCCATCTAGTCCTACCCTCTCATTTTAAAGATGGAGGACACTGAGCCCCAGGGAAGAGAAGGGACTTGTCTGGAGTCACATGGTAAGTAACGGAGACAGGGTTTGAATTCAGATCCTCTGGTGTCAAATTCAAAGTTCTTTCTATGTATAAAATGTTGTGCTGTTGGGCATACAAAAATAAAAAATGGCATCATCTCTATCCTCTGTTTATAATCCAGTGGAGGAGCAAAAAGGCATACAGACAAACAAACAGGACAAAGGGCATAACATGGAAGGGGAAATCATTTTCAACAGGGTAGATTTCATGGAGAAACTTGGCTTTGAAGAGAAGAATATTTCAATAGGTGGAGATGGAGGAGAAGTGTGGTTAGTCCGGGCATGGGGTACAACCTTGAATGAATACACAGAGTCTAGTGAGCAGAGTTTGGCATCAGGGAATAGTGAATAGTCCGTTTTGTTTGGAATGTGAAATTCTTGAAGGAAAATAGTGTACAATAAGGCTAGATTAGGAAGATTAATTCTGAAGCTACATGAAAGATGGATTAGAGAGATGGAGGGACTGACGAGGCATGAAGTCCAGTTCTGCAGTTATCATAATAGTGTAGGTAAATGATGGTGAAGGCTTGAGCCAGGACTGTGGCAATGTGATTTGCTTTAAAGGAGATAGATATGAAGGACAATACAGAGAGAGAGTTGATGGAATTTGGCACCTGGTGAGATGCATGCAATGAAGAGAAGAGGAAAAAGTGAAAGATAACTCTGAGGTTTGGGTCCTGGGTGAGACTGGAAGCAATGATACATTTAACAAAGCTGACAAGAGGGACAGGTTCTGTTGGGAAAATTATGAGTCAACTCACTCCAAACCACACTCATCTTTGAAATGAATTTTAGATAAGATAATCTCCCTTCTAACTCCAATACTAGGCTATTTGACTCAAAATGATATAGAAATTTGGATTATTATTATTATTCAGTAGAAATGATTCTGGGACAAGTCATTCTCCTGCTATTATTTTGTGTTTAATCTCCTATAGACTATTGCAAAGGTGTCTAAAAGACCTGATGAGAGAACAATGTATACATTTAGAAGGGAATAAAAGTCTTCTAAATTTATTAAGAAATAAGAGGGTAAAGGAATAGGATAAGGGGGGGAGTATAGAAAAGTGTCTAGATTAATAGGAGTGGGATAAAGAGGAAACAACATATATATTTGGAAGGCTATAAAAGTCTTCTAAATTCAGATAGAAACAAGAGGGCAAAGGGAAAGGGTGGGGAGGGGGAGGTTAAAGGAAGGATACTTGTTGGGGGGAGGAGTAGGTTAAATAATAGGAGGGCAAGGTAGCAGGTAGAAGTAAAGTAGAGGAGTCAGGAGGGATGGGAAATAAGAGATACACACAAACATAAAATAAAGATCAGGAGTAGAATTTATTAGGGATAAAAGGCAGGGGTAGTAATCATGATCTCAGATGGCATTAAAGCTAAAATAGATTTAGTCAAAAGAGAAAAACAGGGAAACTACACTATATGTCAGCCATATTAATCAATATTGTTTTAGACTATTTAAAGTAACTAGACATTATAAGATTGGAATATTGCTGCACTGTAGGAAATGATGAGTTGATGGATTTAGAAAAATATGGAAAGATTTGGATTTATGAAGGAATATGTTATCCACCTTCAGAGAAACAGAGCACAAACAAGTATAGTACAGTCTTACATAGATGCATATATGTGTATATATGTGTATGATTATAGATATATATGTATATGTAAGTATGTGTACTTATATGTTTGTATATATGTGTATATATGCGTGTGTGTGTGTGTATGTGTGTATGTGTAGCTGCACTTAATTGTAGCCTTCTTGGGGGGGGGGAAGAAGGAGGGAAAAAAGAACAAAGTAAAAAGTGCACAGCAGAGAACAAAATAAAATGTACAAGGAAGTAAAGAAAACATGGTCAGCTCTGAACACACTGTGTACTATTTATTATTAGGCTTTCTTGAAATGGAAATTTATTGCTTTATATTTTTAATCCTCTCATGTTCTGCTGTGAACATGGCAATTTTTTTTTTCTTTTCTTATTTTGTATTTAAGTTTAAAATAAAAAAAAATTTACAAAAAAAAAGTGTGACATGAATAAAATGCCAAATTATCAGTTGCTTTGTTTATGTAAAAGTATATGGGTACTGACTGGGAGGGAATAAGGTCTGTAAAACAACAAAGTTTTAAAACTTCAACTTTCAAAGTCTATCGATAAGTTCAAGGGGAAAGACTCCTTGTTTGATGGTGAGAATATCCTCTTTATCTCCTCTGCAGCACTGTGGTCATATTCTATGTGCAGAGCGGACAGCCTCTCAGAGTCATCCAGGCTGTTGAGGTGGCCCGGACTTTGCATGCTCAGCTCTTAAAGGAAAAGGCAGACTTTTTACTTTTTAAAGTCCTGCGAGTTGACACAGAAGGTCAGTCTCCTATGTGAACATTTTTGTTTCTCCTTGTGATGTCAGACACTCTTCACTTACACAGGAAGAGGATTAGTGTAAGTAAAGTTTAGAGTGCCTAGTCTTAAGATGTTAAACACTGATTTTGCATTAAATTCTCTGGCAGGTTTCCTAAACAGTATAACATGTTGAGACAGGCTAAGGTTTGCCAAACCTATAGGTCTGAGGGAGGCTGGGATAGAATATTTATAATATATCAGTTTTTAAAGCTACCCCTACAGAGAGTTATCATCATTAGTTTCATCTTTGAATAGGAGGGACAGTGGTAGATAAAAATTAATATGGCTGTCAGGAATTAAGAACATTGCATCTTTATATGTCATTTGTACCTTATGCCATTAGATTAAAGAGCACAACTATAGTTCACAATTAAAGGTCTTAAATAGTTTAGAAGTGTCCAGGTGGTTCTAACTTGCATTTTTTTTAATCATAAGTACCCTCATGTGATCCCTTTTTTGGCAAAAAGTTGACTTAGATTTAGTTTAACTCAATTCAGCAACATTTATTAAACACCGACTGTTTGCAGGCACTGTGCTATGTGTGGAAGAAATAACAATAAAAATGAAACCGTCGGGGCAGCTAGGTGGTGCAGTAGATAGAGCACCTACCCTGGAGTCAGGAGGACCTGAGTTCAAATCCAGCCTCAGACCAGATACTTGATACTTACTAGCTGTGTGACCCTGGGCAAGTCACTTAACCCCATTGCCTTGCAAAAAAAAAAATGCAACTGTCCCTGCCTTCAGGGAACTTACCTTCTACTGGTATATATCTCTCTATAGTTATCCCTTTCAGGGGTGTGGCGCCCATGCAATCTGGTATTAAAATTTTTTTAGCCTTCCCTTTGTACCGAAGATGTCTGAATTATTATGGTATTAAAAGATAAAATATGTTGACATTATATAATATTATATATATATTTTACACATTTCTGAGTTTCTAAACTTTTTTTTTTGTGTTGTCTGCTGGTCTTTGCATGTTGTCTGCTGCTTCCGCAAAACTCCCAAAAAATTCCTATTTAATTTCTTATGCTGAACTGTGAGATATTGAAACCGTGATGGGGAAAGTTGTGATGTGGAAGGGGTAACTGTAGATATGCTGGTATTCGTATTACTAGATGTCTTAGCCAACTCCTAGGACAAGTAACATTCCTAGGGGACCACCTTGTCCTTTGAATGTAATTCTTATTATGTGAAGGTAGCACTTGGTACTGGGGGAGCAACGAACAACATGATAATACAATTTTGATAATGCAACATTGATTATATATTTAATTTTTTTCTGACATGCAAATCCATGTGTGAGCTTTTCAGCAGCCTTTCACTGTCATTTGCCTGATAGAATGTAAGCTCCATGAAGGCAAGGGCGATTCCTTTTTTGGCTTTGTATAACCAGCACCTAGCAGAGTGCCTTGCGCGTAGTAGGTGCTTAATAAATATTTGTTAATTGATTGCTCTCAGATGAGATAGTTGAGAGTTGAAGGCACACTTTCAGCATCATAGGACATATACCAGAAGAATATCAAATCATTGAGTATTTAAGGGCCACTGTATTAAGATGCAAAAAAAGTAAAATATGAGGCCTTTTGCCCCTGAGGAACTCAAGATCTGTCTCTACTGCGGTAACTATTACCTCTCCCATTCTGGTCCCAGTTTGCCATTTGAAATGTTCTGGCCATGGCCACTGTGATCCCATTACCAAGCGCTGCATCTGCTACCAGTTGTGGATGGAAAACTTGATCCAGCGCTACCTCAGTGATGGAGAAAGCAACTGTGGTAAGTTCGGATGAAGTAGCTTTGCAAAGATCCTAGGTTCCTGCTGGGAAATAGTCTTCTGGATTTGCAAATGAACTCACCTCTTTTCTCAGCCTAAAGTAAATTGAGAAAACAGCTCCGTGAATCCAGTCAGTTAGAACTTGCTAACAACCCACAGTGGTTTGAAAAGTGCTTCCTGGGCCCTGCTTTGGCTGAAACCTAGAGCTCACTTGCGTCTTGCCATTGCTGGCAGATGTCCTGGCCCAGTTTCTTAATTGGCTGTTGGACCCCAGGGCTTGTGGCTCTGGAACCTCAAACAGAATTTGCTCCTAGGCACTAAGTGGAAAAACCCAAATGCCCAAGGCCATCAATAATCTTTCCCACTCCACCTCCCCCAAGCTAATTCTGTTTGGGATTGTTCTGGAATCCAGTTATCTCCCACTCCATAGCCCTGGAACAAGAAAAGTCACTGAAGGACAATGTGAGGGTTTGGGGGAAGGGGAGTCCAGAAGGCTAGTCACATTCCTTTAGTTGATCACACGTCTGTTAGCCACAAGGCTTTTACATTGGCCTGGACTCTAACCCTAAATGAGGGCCTGCTACAGAGAGTTAATTAGAGGTAGAAAATGGACTGAAAAGAGAGCACTCACTCCTTCAAGCTCTCGCAGAGGACTGTCCTGAGCGTTGAGAATTTCTGGCCTTTTCATAACAGTGTGATAGGAGTTGGAAGGAAGTTGATCAACAAGTCAGACAACCTGGAATCTAGTCCTGACTCTACCATTTATTAGCTATATGACCTGAAACAAATCTCTTCATCTCTCTGAGCCTCAGTTTCTTTATCTACACAATGGATATAGTGCTGTTCCTCGCCTTGTCTATCTGTACCATATGCCCCTTCCCCAGCACCCTCAAACTGGCTTATGGAGAGGTGGAGTGGGTAATGGGTTGGATTAAAGTCCCTATTGGAGTCCTTTCCAACACTGAAATTTTGTGTTTTTGTGAAATGTTGAGTCTTTTCTCCTCCCTCACATCTACTTTCTTGCTGTTAGTAGTTTCAGTCGTGTCTGATTCTTTATGACCCCATTTGAGGTTTTCTTGGCAAAGTTACTGGGGTGGTTTCCCATTTTCTTCTCCAGCTCATTTGACAGATGGGGAAACTGAGGCAAACCGGGCTAAGTGACTTGCTCAGGGTCACACAGCTTGTAAATGTCTGAGTCCAAATTTGAACTTGGGGCCTCCTGACTCCAGGCCCAGTGGTCTATCCACTGAGCCACTTAGCTGCCCTTATATTTGTTGATGGTCAGTTATTTACTTTGGCAGAAAAAGTGCCATTACAGATTACTGTTAATTCCATGCAATAACTCCCTTCAGTTTTATGGGTGACTCCTTTAAATAGGTGACGTCAGAAGTGACCCATTGCCCCAACATGACAGTGTGACAGACTGATCTCAGCTGGATTTTGTGTTGGATCAGAATAGGAAAATAAGTCAGTCCCCACTACCAAACTCAGTCACGAGTGGAGTGAAGCTGGCACCAGCAGAGCAGGCCAGTGATCCAGGGAGGAAATTATCTTAAAGTAATCAGGCAAATGTATACCTTGGAAAGTAAATTTGCGGATCAGATAAATAGATGGGCATAGTGTTGGAGCCACCTCAAACTAACCCACAGAGTTGATTGTTTAATTTTCAGGTGAGGATTTATTTACACCTTGGTAATCAGCAAGATACAAATCAGGGTCCGATTTATTGCTTTGTTGATTGTCTACTCTACACAAAAGAAAATGTGGCATAAAATGTTATTAATAAAGCAGATTAAAGCTAAAAGTGTGACCTGCATTTTTGGAGAGCTTGTTGTTAAACATGTACCAGCATGCCACTGGGCTAGAGTGGACATGATAAAGGAAGGAAATTAGGATTTTGAATTCTACAATTACATTCCTACATATCCCTGTTGAAAGTATTAAGACTGTGGAGAGAAAGGCTAGTTGAATTCATCTCTTGTACTGTGTAGGCAGGTTGTGTTTTAGGCCTTTTTTGTTCCCCTGTATAATTTCTTTATGCCTAGAGCTTTATCCATGAACAGATGTGGAAGGAATGTGAATTGGGAAGAGTCTGATCTATTGCTTGACTCAGTGTTAAGTGCAAGATCCCACAGATAGACACACGACAGCCACATTTTTCTTTCAGCTAGACCCAATAGTTTCTTTAGGACAGAGGTGGGGAACCTTCGGTCTTTCACTGTGAAATTTGGATTCAATCAAAGGACCGCATTTGAGGACCTAGAGGGCCACATGTGGCCTCATGGCTGCAGGTTCCCCACCCCTGCTTTAGGACCCTAAGGACTTCATAAATGTTTCCAGACAAGGTAACTTTTGAATTTCTCATGGTTTTCAAACAAGTGTTCTCTGTGAGACACACGAATGTATAACCTATCAGCAGAGGCAACGATCTTCTGGAATCACAGTTGAATTTGAGTAATTTTGGAGTCCTCTGTTCTGCTTGGCATAAGAACGCCTAGCATGTGGAGAGAGCAGCTTCAGTATTAATTGTGTGACCTTCAGTTCTCCTTAGACTTGTACCCCACCTCGTTGATGGTTCTGTGTTAGTCAGGCAGGTGGAATCAACAGCATGAATCTCTGCTTGTAGAGCCTTAAAACTATTTATTCAGTGTGAAATAGCATACATCAAGTTGTTCTGCAAAGTGCAAAAACATTTTGGTTTTCTTGTTTTCCAGAATGGAGTATTTTCTATGTGACTCTGCTGGCTTTTACTCTGATTGTGATAATGGTGGGTTTTACTTGGCTCTGCATCTGCTGCTGCAAAAGGTACCTGGTCGGCACATGTATTTTTAATAAAATAAAAGACATATTGAACGTGAGATGACAGCCCTAAGGTCTTCTGCTTGGGACTTGTAAACTGCTAATCTGCTTGACAAAGGAGACGTGATAAAGTACTTTACAAACTACTTCTTTGAGGTGTCTTAACAAATTAACTCCCTCCCTCCTCAATAAAACTATTCTTACAAAGGCCTCACATCTTAGAAGAGGCTAGCTAAATTACTCTAGTTTAGGAGTTTTTAACCTGGGGTCCATGAAATTATCTTTTTAAAAACATTTTGATAATATAACTGGTTTCTTTTGTGTAGTTTAAAAAACATTGTTCTGAGAAGAGCTCCAGAGGCTTTACCAGACTGCCAAATAGGTCCATAACACACAAAAAAATAAGAACTTTTATTCTAGGTCAAATCCTATTTTCTTCTTTTTTTTTTTTTGCTCCCTCCCCCCCAATCCTCCCAGTTCTTCTTGGCGCTCTTTAGGGCTTTGCTAATCAAGACATTCTTTAGGGGAGAGTACTAGAAATCATTATGGGTTGAAAGTTTTGATTATTTTTATTGCACCTGATAAAAATATGAATTACCTTTACTCCTTTTGATAAATGTAAAATTTTAAGAGAGATCCCGTAGGCAAGGAAAAATCATGCCTAATGTTTTACCTTGTGTCCTGTTCTCTGGAGTGGCCCCCTGGGAAGCTCCTGAGGTTGTCATGACAGCAGACTAATCTCAGAATTCTTTGTCAGGCCTATTGTGAGCAGACCCAACCATCACAGAATGACTCTGAATGCCCCGAGAACAGAGAGTATGAGGTATTTCTCCACATGAGCCTGCATAAGTAATTGTGCCAGATACATGTGGCCAGAATGAAGGGCTTCACCTTAAAGAAAATTTTTTTTTTGAAATTATGCTGCTACAAAGCTGGCAGCACAACCAGTGTGGTGCCAGTCTGCGTCATACCACTAAACAATCTCGACCTAGATCATGACTAGGCTCTCACACTTTCTGAAAGGAAAAACTGGTGCGAGAACATCAGAACAGTGCCTCAGCCGCAAGTCAAGTGTTGCCTGAACTGGATTCCACAAATACCTGCTGAGATGGTTGCCGTGATCTGGATTGTTTTGAAAATGCTACGGCTGTATGTTACACAAGTTGATAAGAAAATGATGAAGTTAGTGTTTTGTTTTTACCATAGGAAGCAACATGATATGAAAGTGCTCTTTGTTCCTGTTCAGCATACATTTGGCACGGTTTGGTTGTTGTGTGTTTGAAAAATAACTCCCCAACACATGGGAAGAGCCCCATGGGGCCGTTTAGTTGGGGTGTATGTTTGGAAAAGAATGATTGGTTAAGCCAATTGATTAACCATATTTCCTTTCTTAGAACTGTCTTTCCAATTCCTTACTATTCATTCACTACCTCAATGAGCATTTATTAGGTACCTATTATGCATGGGCTAGGTTCTGGAGTTGAAAAATTGAAAAACCTAGAGTCCCTCCCCATCGAGGAGCTTATAACCTAGTATATTTGCAGGTATACAAATCATTAGAATAGACATTAGAATATGTTTAACTACGTAGAGTACATATACTCTATTGAGAGCAGAGATCTTGTCTTAATTTTGTATATCTTGAAATGTCTAGCACAGTTGCAATAGATGAATGATGAATGGTGGTTGAATGAATGGATGGATGGATTGACAAAATGCTATTTAATTTAACAAATTAAATTTAATAAGAATTCTATTTAAGCACCCACTTGGTACAAGGTATTGGGTGTACAAAGTCCTACTCTCCAGGTGTTTATGCTTTATTTAGGGGTGAAAGGGATGTAACATGTATAAAAAATAAGCATAATAAAAAGAAGAGTGTGATGTAGTCAAAGAAGAGATCCCAATACCATGCTCTAGGAATATTTGAGGAATAATAGACTATTTTTGGCTGAGCAGATCAGGGAGGTCTTCAAGAAGAAGGTGACAACTGAGTTAAGACTTGAAAGAGATAAAGATTCTGAAAGGCACAGATGAGAGATTTTTATTAGTGACTAAGATACAAGCATAGATGATATGCTTATCAAATTTGGAAGTGACACAGAGCTATAAAAAATAGCTAACATTCTAGATGACAGATTCAGAATCAAAAAAGATCTGGCAGGTTAGAATGTTAGGCTGAATCTATTAAGATGAAATTTAATAATAACAGCTGTGAAGTCTGACCTTTGAGTTAAAAAAAAATCTACTTCACAAGTATAATGATGGGAGAAGTGTGGCTGGATGGTGATTTTTTTCTTTTTATGGGGCTTTTAGGTAACTGGAAGCTCATTATGAGTCAACAGGATAATATAGCATCCAAAAAAAAAGTTAATGCAATCTTGGGCTCAATTAAGAAAAGCATAGTGTGTAGGATTCAGCAAATATCTGACTTATTTACTAGACAGAGATGGCAACTAAAAGCAACATTGGTCTAAAATATAACTCATTTGTAAAATCTTACAAAGAATGATGAAAAGTTTTATTTCAGAAAACAGGTGAGCAGTGGAAGGTTAATCCATTTTACAGAAACCTTAGAAAGAGATCCAACTAAGCAAAATAATCCTTAGGGTATTTAAGGACAAAAAAAAAAAAAAAAAAAAGGAAAGAGGACTACAAACAGAAGGAAATGGAAAAGATCTTCAAGGATAACTACAACACACTATTTTCTTTAGTGCAGTTAAGTGGCACAGTGGATAGACTGCTGGGCCTGCAGTCAGGAAAACCTGAATTTAAATCTGGTCTCAGACACTAGCTGTGTGACCCTGGGCAAGTCACTTAACTCTGTTTGCCTCAGTTTCCTCATCTGTAAAATGAGCTGGAGAAGGAAATGGCAAACTGCTCTAGTATCTTTGCCAAGAAAACCCCAAATGGGGTCATGAAGAGTCAGACATGACTAATTGACCAAACAATGACCACAAATTTCATATCTTGCAATTTTGCTTAAGTTATTGTTTCAATTAAAGAAAATTTTTAGTTGACTTCTAGGGTTGTCTAAGTATACCATCATATCATCTTCAGAAAGCAGTAATTTAGTTCCTTTGTGTCAATTTCTTTTTCTTGTTTTATAGTTATAGATAGCATTTAAATCGAGGATTATGTTAAATAGTAATGGTGACAATGGATAATCTTGCTTTACCCTTATCTTACTAGAAAGGCTTCCAGTTCATCCACATTAATTTTAGATATATACTATAACATATTAAGGAAAGGTTAATTTATTCCTATGTTTCCGTGGGTGTGTGTTTGTGTGTGTGTGTGTGTGTGTGTGTGTTTTAACAGAAAAGGGTCAAAAGTTTTTACTTGATCTATTGATATAATCATACAATTTTACCAACCCTGAATTCCTGGTACAAATCCGTTCCGACCATACTCCATAATCTTTGTGATTTTAGCACTTAGCATCTTAGCACTTAGCATGGTACATTGCATAGATGAGGCACTTAAAAAAAAATCAGTAGGCTTACTTATTGATTGATTCCAAACCTCCAAGGTCCTTCTGCAGAATTGTATCTCTATCCACCTTACATGCTATAGTCTACTTTACTGAGTAGGTTGAAGGAAGGAAATCATCCAGGGAATTCTTTGAAACGAAGTCTCACAAAATTTTAACTTCCTATCACTTTAACCTTGATTCTACCACCTCCCTCCAAAATCTTTAATTATATCCTTTTTTTCAACTTTTCTCTATTAGTACTATCTCTTTTACCTAAAAACACAATGAAGTCTCTCCTATGCTGAAAATGTATACACTTGACTTAGACACCCTACTTCAATCTACCATCTAATTCTCTGTGACCAGATTTTTCAAACACGTGGGCCACATCCAGTATTCCTTCATTAAATCCCTGAAATGTGGCTTCCATCTTCACTTTCACTACTGACACAGCATGGGGGGGCCCCAGTGACCACCAAACCCACGGCTTTTTCTGAGTCCCTATTCCCTTGCCTAGTTAATTTCATTTGATTGGTGCAGTGTGGCAGGGCTGCTTTTGCTCCTCAGTGATTTCTCTAAAGCCTGATACATTTTTGTGTTTATTTTACATGTCTGTGTACATGCTGTTTCTTTTTTTATTTAATATTTTCCCCAATTACAGGTAAAAACAATTTTCACATTCTTTTTTCAAATTTTGAGTTCCAGATTCCCGTCCCCCCTCACTGAGAAGGCAAGCACTTTGACATAGGTTCTACATGTGTTGTCTGCATGCTTTTTCCCAAAAATGATATGAGAGATCGACATCCTGTAGTAGGGAGAGCACTAAGACTTGCCACCAGGAAAGACTGTTGTATGAACTTGGGGAACCTATCAGTCTCAGCTTTGTTATCTATAAAATGGGGAAAATAATATTGTCAATACCTACTTCACAGAATCTTTGTGGGGAAAGAAAAGAGCTATGGAAGACTTCATATGCTGTATGGCACTGCGACGTTTGCTTGCTACTAGGCAGATGAGCAGATAGGCAGCGCTGCTGTCGGCCAACTTTTTGTGGGATGGGCTATCCTCCCTTGAGGCCTGACACTCTCTCTCTCTCCTTCTTCATCCCTCCTCCCTCCCTCCCCTTTTTTCCCTCCTTTTCCCCTCTTCTTCTCACCCTTTCTCTCTCTCCCCTTTTCCATCTCTCTCCCCTTCCCACTTTTTCTTCCTCCCTTTCAGTCTTTTTCAATAATTTATTCTTCTTGGGACAGCCAGGTGGCGCAGTGGATAGAGCACTGGCCCTGGAGTCGGGAGGACCTGAGTTCAAATTTGACCTCAGACATATCACACTTACTAGCTATGTGACTCTGGGCAAGTCACTTAACCCCAATTGCCTCACCAAAACAAACAAACAAAAAAAAGCAATAATTTCTTCTTCTCTTCACCCTTTCTTCCTCTAATCTTCAGACTTTGAGCCTCCAGTAAGATATCTTGCTCTGGCAGACACATCACAAATCACCTTTCCTCTCTCCCCACCCCATACATAGTGCAGTCAAGCAATAACAAACACAGTTTAGCTATTCAGTTAATCAACAGCTTTATTACACATTCAGATTTTAGAAATAAAGTAAACCCTTAAATATACTAGGGAAGATGCCCACCAAGCCAGGAGGGAAACAACAGATTTAAATAGAGTAGGCCTGCACAACTTGTGGCCCACCAAAGCGGCCCACGGGCGGTCTGTTGTGCAGGCCAGTTTTACATCCTCTATGTTTTTCATGGGCCAACCAAAATCCTTTCACAGGCCGCAATCTGCGCATGGGCTGTAAGTGGCTCATGGACCGAATGTTGTCTAGGCCTGAAATACAGCATACTGGAGAGACAGGGAAAGCGGAAGGGAAATGCAGGGCTTTCTCTTCAGCCTAGATTCTAGCAGCACACAGGTCCTAACCCAGTGCAGGTCATGTAATCCTCTGTCTCACTGCCCTAACATCAGGGGTCCTGGCTGCTGATGACCCCCTAAACATTCCTGTTCCTTTAAGTTAAAAAGTAGGAGGCTTATACAGGGAGTCAAGGTTAGCATGCCCCAATGCCTCTGCCCAAGTCTCTGGAATCCTGTCCTTCCCCTGAGGCCTGCCCAAAGGCTCATAATATAGATAAATGTAAAATATTATTAAAAAGTGGGAGCTACACTTTTAAGGTAAGACATCTCCTTTAGGTCTAGCCACATATTTTTGTGTATCCGTTATTACCTTGGAGAGTTTACCTTTCTGAGAATTTGATTTGTGCTTATTATTTTTCCTTTCAGACAGAAAAGGACTAAAATAAGAAAAAAAACAAAATACACCATTCTGGATAATATTGATGACCAAGAAAGACTGGAGCTAAGTCCTAAATTTGGTAAGACATTTAACAAGATGCTTTCATACATACTATCAACACATGATTTAATTCAGACATTTGTCCCAGAGTTATCACGGGTGAATTTGAGGGCAACAGATCCTGTCAGGAGACTTGGCTGATGTCAGTTCTGTCAATGGCTCATTGTGTAACACTGCTAAAATTATGCCTCTTTGGGCATCTGGAGAAAATAATAGTTGACATTATTCAAGGCTATAGGGATAAAGGAAAGTGATAACTTGTAAAATTTAATTAAGAGTTGATGAAGACCTATGAGAATATTTGGGGAAAAGACACACTAAAAATATTTTGTAGGGGGTGTGCATTGTATGGTGTATCTCAGAACACACCATGAGTATAACCAAAAGATAAGCAAAGGAAAATCATTTCCAATTAACACTTAAGCATAGAAGCAAATACAACTCAAAACACTCATTTTTCCTGGATTTGGGACTCAATGGATGAGTGCAAGGAAATGTAATGTTCTGGTACACTCCAATCTATTTATTTCCAAATGCCTTTTCCTCCATGTCCCCCCATAACTGCCATATACTAGAGCAAATGCTCGACTTGAAGCCAGAAGCCCTGGGGTCAAATCTCTAAAATTTACTGTGTCACTTTGGGTACTTCATGAACCTCAATTTCCTGTTCTATAAAATGCGAGAATTATACTACATGAACTCTAAGGTCCTTTCCAGTTCCTAAAATTCTATGAATCATATGAATGATTTAGAATGAACAAATACACATCAAAAATCATACCAATTCATTTTCAGTTATTATTCATGTAAATACAGAAGCAGGGGGCTTTTCCAAGATTGGTTTGTGCATAGTGCATTTAACCCAGGTGGCGTACTTACTTTTATTTTAAAATCATCCTATGACTGCCTTAAAAACAATTCAGTGGTTGTTAAACACAGTCCGGTGCAGAGCAACGTACCAAGCACTGGGGTTACAATTATCCTTGCCCTCAAAGGAAATCATATTCTACGGACAGACATGTATATTCAGATAAGTAAATACAAATTAATTTGAGAAGAGAAAGCACATTAACAATTGAAGGGGAGGTGGGGTTTGGTCTAGAAAGTCTTTGATAGGAGGTGGCACCTGAGCTGAAGAAAGCCAGATTCTAAGAGGCAGAGGAGAGGAGGGTGTGCATTCCAGGCGTGGAGGGACAGCCTGGACAAAGGCATGGAGGTGAGAGATGGAATCCCAAGTTCCCTAAATAGCTAATAAGCCAGTTTGGCTGGAACATATTGAAAGGGAGTAACATCAGATATCAAAAAAGGTAGGTTGTGGAGAGATTTAGGTGTTATGCTGTGAGAAGACATAGAGACAAGAGAAGAAATACTGATTTGGGGGTACAGCTAGTTGGCCAATCTGGTTGAATACGAAGTGTGTGAAAGGGAATAATATTAATATGTCTAGAAAAGTTGCAGTGAAATTATGTAGGATTTTAAATGCCAGACTCAGTGGTTCATATATTATCTTAAAGGTTAATAGGGAGCCATTGAAGATTTTTGAGCAAGAGAATGGCATGATATAACAAAGTTATATCTTGTAGGAGAAAATGATTTTGGCAACAGGGTGGAAGATGAATTGGAAAAAGGAAAAACTGGAACAAAGTGAGACCAATTAGGAGCTTATTGCAGTGGTCCAGAAGAGGGGTGATAAGGGCCTAAATGAAGATAATGCCCATGTGAGTGGAAAAACAGATGTAAAAAGGCTGTTTTGAAGGCAGAATCACTAAGACTTGGCAATAGAGTGGATATGAGGGATGAGAAAGAGGACATAGGCAAATTACAAATCCAGGATATGAACTTGGGGGACTAGAAGGATGGTGGCATCTGCAACAGAAATAGGAAAGTTTGGACAAGGGGTCAGTTTAGGGGTGAAGAGAGAGAGTTCTGTTTTAAATATGTTGTGGTTTGAGACATGTCCCAGTATGCAGTTGCCGATGTGGGAATGGAGCTCAAGACAGGGTAGAGCTAAATATGTAGCTTTAGGTCATCTGCATGCACATGGTAACTAAACCCATAGCATCTGCTTTGATCATTAAGGGAGAGAATGTAGAGAGAGAAGAGAAGGCCGAGTTCTGAGTCTTGAGAGACACCTATGCTTTGGAGACTGAGAGATGGATTATGAGAAAGTCTGCTTTTGGTATCTTTTAATTCCTGGGTACTAATTCAAGCAGCATTTAATAAGCAAATTCTGATTTTGTGAGGCTACTTGAATTCCCATCCAAAGGAGTACAACAGTATAGTTACTCATGACTTTTCCAAACTGCCAACTCTTGAGTCACAACAGAATGAATTACCGCAGCTGTATATCATTATGGTTGAAGTCCCGAGAGGGCAAAAGATAGTGCTACCACCTTGAGTTTATGTAGTATCTTTGTTCAAATACTCAAAATGTTTCCTCATGTGTAATGTCAACGCTGCTTTTTTATGTCTTTCCCCTAAAGTCAGTTCCCAATACTAGCTTCCCTATTGCTTTTAATGGAAGCACAATTTGACATTTGGACCCTCCCTATGTACAATGTTTCCCAACAGATTTCTCTGACTGTATCCCCAGCACTTAGCATTGTGATTTACACATAAGTGCTTAATAAATGCTTTTTTTATCCATCCATCCATTCTCCTAATCAAGAGTAGTCATTTATGGTTCTTCTCCTTTGACTCCCCTACCCTTATCACCAAGTCCATCCTTCCTTCACAATGTCTTCTGCATCTGTTTCTTTCCAATTAGTACCACCCTAGTTCAATCTCATCACCTCACACCTGAGCTATTGCAATAGTTTTTTAACTGATCTCTTTGACTATAATAGCCTCTTCAACTTTCATTTTTTCTCCCCTACACACCGTGGCCAGATAAATCTTCCTAAGACATTCATTTAATCAACAAATCCCTCCTGCTCACAGGGGAAAATCCAAACTTCCTAGTTAGGCATGCAAGGCCTTCTACAATTTGCCTATAACCAACTTATCCAACTTTATCTGTAACTATTCCTCTACCAAAATTTCACCTCAAGAATCCTGTCATACACATAGAATCATAGGATTTTAAAGGTTAATAGGACATTAGAATTCACCTTGTCTAATCTCCTCATTTTACAAAGTACATAAAGTCTGAGTAAAATGTGTAGTTTAAATAGCATTATTAATTATTATTATTATTATTAATAGTATCGTATACTGTTGTTGTTCAGTCATTTCACTCATGTCCAACTCTTTATGACCCCATTTGGGGTTTTCTTGACAAAGATACTGGAGTCCAGCTCATGAGGAACTGAGGCAAACAGGATTAAGTGACTTGCCCAGAGTCATATAGCTAGTAAGTGTCTAAGGCCACATTTGAACTCAGGAAGATGAGTCTTCCTGACTCTGGGCCTGGCACTCTATCCACTGGACCCTCTAGCTGCCCAGTATTATATATTAATTGTACATTAATATATACTAATATACTATATTAGTATTACATAGTAATATTAGTATTATAGTATTTATTTTTAACCTGAAGAGTATACTGAAAGTTTTTTTTTTAACCTCAAATGACAAATAGAGAACTAAGGGTAAAAATATAGAAGTTCTGTCCTAATTCTTTTGTTTGCTCATCCTCAGGAATTAAACACCGGAGCACAGACCAGAACTCCAGTCTGATGGTATCAGAGTCTGAATTTGAAAGTGACCAAGACACAATCTTCAGCCGAGAGCTTGGAACGGAGACTTCGAAGAACTCTGTGTTTGGATCCATCAAAAATGGGATTCCCTTCACTTATTGCTCCAAGGACAGATAGTTAAGCTGTTTTCAAGTGGGCGGAAATACTGAGCTGCCACAAAAAGAATAAGTTGAGACTTCCCCCAACATTTTTTTTTTTGTTTTCAAAATCAAAATCTTCTCGTATGATAGGAGAGTGAAACAAGTTTGTCCAGCATAGTTCAGAGGAGGTTAGAACAAAAAACTAACTCATGTTATGGTTAAAATAGGAACAGGGAATACTAGCATATTTTAACTCCTCCTACATTGTGCTGCGTGTACAGTCCCACATTTTAAAGACTTATTGGTTGGGAATCTTGACACCAAAAATCACTACTTAGGGTGGTTATTAATGGGAAGAAGGATAACATTAAGCTTTAAGGTACATACAATTTGTGCTTTACATTTGGTTTTCCATCATTAAAAAAAGCTCTGTACAAAGTTGGTACAGTATGTGTTTTAAGGCTTTATATAAAATAGCCCATATTTAAATAAAACTTAACACGTGATTACGGGCTCCATCTTCAGAAGTATAGCTTTTTCAAGTTAAATAAAAACAAAGACTGCAAAGCAGACTTTTTTTTTTTAATTTTAATTTGCCAGTATGTCTATGGTAGCACATAATAGATTTGATTGTGAAGCCAAAAGCAGACTGAGGCATTACCCCATCTGAGGACTTCCAGGCCCCAGACAGAAGCAACATTCTCCTTGCCCCCAACCACACTTATATTTTTATGTGCCCCTAAATTATCTTCGAGGCCTGATTAATAATAGAAATAAGGCAAATATCACTGACTAGAGATGAGGAATGGAAAGGGAGATGGGATTTATATCTTGTTGATTGGAAACTAGAATGCCACAATCTGGGGAGAGAAAAGTATAACTGCTCTGGATCTCGTCAACTGAACTGAACCGGACTGTAACCTGAAGATGGCTGGTGGCAAACAGAGCAGGCTAGAGACTGGAGAGTCAGGAATCAAACAGAAGTTTAATTTCAAAGTGAAGGAAATAGCTTGCAAGCAAGGAGAGATTGAGACACATGTGCCGCAGTCCCACCCCCAGTGGGGGGACCTGAGGCAGTGTGGGGAGATGTCTGTACTTAATACCAATGGTTGCACAGTGAGCCTGTCATTCTGATAATGAGGGGTAACAGCAGCATCGTGACAAGTCTGATTCATAGCAAGGTTTCATGACCAGAACTCGTCCAAGCTTGTTCAGGCTTGTCCGAGCTCAGAGAACACCTGGTGTTGGTCAAAGCAATACAATAATATTTCTGTGATTTTTGCCAGAGGGTGAGCGCATAGGATTGTTGTTATGCCTAGCTCAGGCTTGCTTGCTGGGCCTTAGTCTGGAAAACAGGTGTCTCCTAGTATCTTGACAGTCTACATGCAGTTTCCATTATTCATTCCCTACATAATTTTCTACACTTTCAGACTGAGAGAGTCATTAAAAAAAGCATCTCCAAAAAAAGCTGCAAATAATAGATTATTTCATGAGAACAATCTGGCCTCGCTGTAAGAAAAAGCTTTCTCAATTACTATTTTTTTTTAAATTTCTTGGTGAGGCAATTGGGTTTAAGTGACTTGCCTAGGGTCACACAACTAGTGTCAAGTGTCTGAGGCCACATTTGAACTCAGATCCTCCTCACTCTAGGGCCAGTGCTCTATCTACTGCACTACCTGGCTGCCCCAAGAAAAAAACTCTCTAACAAAGTTATCCAGAAGGGAAGTGGGTTGCTTTGGGATTCTCCTCATTGGAGGTATTCAAATGAAGGTCAGATGCCCACTTGTTGGGTATGTTGGTTATGTTGTAGGGCTTTTTGTTCAGGTATGAATGAGTTGTATTAGATAATCTTAGGGAACCTCCCAGTGCTATGATTCTGTGACTGTGAACTTGGCTTTCATCTGGTGTGCTTTAAAAATTTGTACAAAACGAAGTTCTTAGGGACATAGCTAAAATTTCATCGGGATGGAAAATGCTATCCACATCCAAAGAACGAACTATGGCATTTGAATGCAGATCGAAGCATACTATTTGCTATTTTTTTCTTCTGTTTTGTTTTCTCTTTCTTGTGGTTCCTCCTATTGGTTCTAATTCTTCCTTATAACATGACTAATGTGAAAATGTTTAATAGGAATGTATATGTATAGCCTACATCAGAGTGCGTGCCATCTTTGGGAGGGAGGCAAAAATTGAGGGGTGAGAAAAATTTAAAACTCAAATGCTTATGAAGTGATTGTTGATAAATTAAAATAAATTAATAAAAATACAAAAAAATTTCATCAGGAACAAGGGAAAAGGGAAAAATAACAAAATAAGTTCACCCCTGCCAACTCCTAGTTATACTGGATTTAATTGTATTAAATTAAGTTGACTGAATCACTTCTGTTTTCACCCCATTACCCACACTGAGTGCAAGCTGTTAGGGTGGCCCTAGTCAGTATTTTTTTTTTTTTTTTAAAGAATTAGGCTGGAGGGTTGGCCTGATCATAAATGAAAACCATTTTGTAGCCTCAAGCATGCCTTTATTGTAAGAGGCATTGTATTAAATAACTCTCTACCATATCATCCGGAAAGAGGTGGACCTGCCTTGTGTTAATCAAAACACAAATGCAGCAGTTAAACTACCAGAGTGCGAGACAGAAAATGTCATTAGAGCGGGCAGATGAGAAAAACAGGCCAGCATCTTCTCCTTGCTGCCTCCTCCTAATATTCATATGAATAGAATATTCTTAATTGCTTTATTTTGCTGGTGAATGGGAGAGTAATAATGAGACTATAATTGAAAACACATGTCCCCAATTGCACATCTGCTTTTCAGAAAAATTGCCAATTAAAAATCATTCAGGATCAGATGGAGCATGTGCTGCTTCAGCAGCCTGAACTCATAATGCTGACCCCTAGGTAGGCAGGTAAAGCTAGAATTTAAATTAATTCAATAAGCATTTATTAAGTGCTTACCATGTATGAGGCACTGTGTTAAGCTCTAGGGATACAGAAACAGGTGTGGAAAACGGTCCCCTGCTCTTTTGTTTACCTCTACTGGAGGATACAGAAAAGTAAAGAGATGAGTGAAAAACAAAGGATATTTTGGGGTATACTGGGATTTCATTAGTGGATCGGCAGGCTATAGTGAATGTGCATACAGAATATAACGAATGGTCATGGAACCAAGAGCCACTTAACAGATCTCCCTCTCCCTTACTATCGATGTTCATTTCTGTTTTAAGAAAGATGACTACTGGCTGTTGATAAACAATTTCTGACTGGATCTTTCATGGAATGATCTAGAATTCCTAAGACATAGGAGAGTGAGCTCTAGGATTCTCCTCTGAATATCTTAGTTGCAAGTCCAGCTGTAACAAAGGAAGTATCAATTTTCCAGTGTGTCTTTAGGCTTCTGACAGCCCACACTCACAGCTGGGAGCTTTACATGTACTGAAGGCTAAAACAACACTGCTATATAAAAAGGCAATGAGGTAGGAAAGGGTTATTAACCAATGTGTCAACGATCTGGTAGACAGGTGCTAAGAAGCACCCTTCCTCTTGAATGTGAACATGTTACTATGGACTTTGTCCCAGGAGTATTTGTAGACAAATGTGCGATTTATTTCATGCATTGACATTGCCCTGGATCATTTCTGAAATAACAATATCAAATATATGTGCTCCTCTTAATAAAACTGTTTTGTTTTTTTTTGTTTTTTTTATGTAACTCCTGGTCTTTCTTATGCTTCTGAAGGCTTAACAAGGCTTTGGTAGATAGGAGAGATAAAAGTGTTGTTCGGAGAGGGCTGGTGGTAAAAAAGACCAGATTACTCAAAAGCTTAAGGGTTACATATAGCTATATCTATGAAACTTTCTTCACAGGGAGTAAATTCCTTTATCTTACCCAAACCAGGAGAAAAACTATTCACAATGTTCAGGATGGTAATAAATAATAGCTTGGATTTCTAAAATGAAGCTTAAGTGAAAAAAAAAAACATTTATGGCATAACTAGTAGGTTCAGCTTTTTCTCTATTAGTTGCTACTAATAGCGCTTTACTATTTGATCCAAATCTTTAAGCATCATCAAGAAAATGAAATTCTTTCAGTGTTGAAAATAATAGAAGATAAAACGTTTAAATGTCCAGTTGCCAACATAATTATGAAAGATGTGACCGAGTTTACCAGGTCAGTCCAAAACCTGGTAGTAAAAGTAGTATCCTTCAAGTGATCACAGGCAAAGAATTAGAGCATTGATCTTTTAGGGCAAATATGATGTCATTAAATCCTAAAATTTGTAGACAGTGATTTTATAGTCCACCTCCTTCCCCCATTAACAATAACAACTGTTTGCAGACTTCATTCCCCAAACTGATAAGTGCATCAAGGCATCCTATACTTTTCAACAGTTTAACTTAACTGGGAATCATTAAAAGCCCATATTAATGTTTCTCCAACTACACAGGCCGTGGAAAATTTTTTTTTCTGATTGTGCTCAAGTTTGAAATTAAGGAATATTTTTTGCCAATGGTTAAACATCTGTTGTGATTATATCAGTATCTCTGTTTTGCAGGAGTTGGGTTGGTCATAAGGTTCCAAGACTGACATCAGCACCAGAAGAAAATGCAAATCTTTATAATCTATCATGGCACCTAGAAAATAATTCATAGCACACATAATAATTAAAAAAAACTATATTAAAGTTGAAAATACCAGAGAGCTGATAAATGAGTGTTGGAGCAGAGTATCTGGCAGGGTAGTGAGGGTTGGGCTCCTTTATTAGTTTCACGTCCCAAGAACGATGTATTATGGATTATGTTTGTAAACCTCTGTCTTCCAAACCCTTTTAGGATTATGCCATTAAGAGTGAGAAATCTTTCCTTCCACAGATTTTCATTGTTAGACTAAAATATTAATAGTTTCATAGCATTCTTTCTTCTGATATAACTCATTAAAACTTGTTCTATACACGTCTGCTGTCCAGTTTGTTGTGAGATAAATCTAAAAAAGTAAAAAGTTAAAACAGTAGTAAGAGGATGATAAATCTGGTTGAAAACACTGGCCTTGAATAAACATAGGACATCCCTTGTTAAGTGCATTACATCCTTAGCCAAGAGCCCATTATGCTTATATTTTAAAACTACATCTGGATGCCCACTTCTAGACACTACATGTTAGACTATCCGGAGAGAAAGGTCATCAGCTCAGTGAAGAACCTCAAGGTCATACCACTTGAGGAATTCACAAAGGAATTGGAAATGTTTACCCTGGAGAAGATAAAACTTTGGACACATGACAGCTATCTTCAAGTATACAGGTATGACTGTGTCATTCATCTATCAAAAGAAACCAGTGGTTCCCTGTTACCTATAGGATAAAACACAAAAAGCTCCACCTGGCTTTTGTAGCACTTTACAACATGGCTCCCACTTACCTTTTCCAGCTATACCATGTT